GAACAATATCTACCTACAGTATTAAATCTGTAACATCAGTGAAGTAAACATCCTTTATTTCTACCCAGAGATAAAGAACAATATCTACCTACAGTATTAAATCTGTAACATCAGTGAAGTAAACATCCTTTATTTCTACCCAGAGATAAGGAACAATATCTACCTAAAGGATTAAACCTGTAACATCAGTGATGTAAACATTCTTTATTTCTACCCAGAGATAAGGAACAATATCTACCTACAGTATTAAATCTGTAACATCAGTGAAGTAAACATCCTTTATTTCTACCCAGAGATAAGGAACAATATCTACCAAAAGGAGTAAATCTGTAACAAGCTTACATAGACCTTTCACGAGACAGATGAAGAGACAGAAAATTCCACATCTTGCCTATGTCAAACCAAGTCTTGTGCTTACTTAACATTACTAGTTGATTTATTTTTCTGTCATTAAAACTTGAGCAATGCATAGCTAACCATTTAGTTTAGACAGAAGTCCAGTCTTCAGCCTCCAAAATTTACACTGTTGAAAATAAATTTCTATCATAATCATGAAAGATAAATCTTTCATCCGATTTTATAAAAACTTGCTTATCATAGAAATTTCAACGAAACTTTTCACAAAGAAATCATGACCACCATTAAATATAACAGATGGAGTGATTGATAAATGACTGTTGTAATATACTGATATCCAACATGTAACTACACAAACATTTCAGGGTTATACCTGGCAGCTGATCATGAGACCCAGTTGATTATAAATTATAATTTGGGTAAAAATGAGGAAATTAATAGTTATAAAAAAAAAAATGACAATTGACATTGGCAAAAAGAAAAAGATTTTCCAATTTTAAATAATTTCACAAAGAAAGAAAATCATTAATGGTGACTTGATCATGAGAAAATCACTTTTCAAACTGTTCAAGAACAGAATTTTTAAACAACTGGGCCCTTGTTTTAAGACTAGCAGTGATACATGGTATATCTATAACTAGCAAACCTACAGTGCACATTGGTTGGTAATCCTTGGTGTGTGAAATATTGAATGTATACCTGTTGGTGCTTGGTTTTGCAGGCGAGGTCCTCAAACAGCATACAGAAATAATGAATATTAAATATTATTGATAAATAGAGGAACCTCGTGATTATTTTCATGGTCTGCTTGCTCGAGTCATTTGGCAATGTACTGGTCCACAAAAAAAATGATGCTTTCAAATTTTCAGTAGACTAGTTTTTCCTATATTGCCATTAATTTCTATTCCAGAATGTTAGGTATCAGGGTGATTTCTTCCAGGATATATAAAGGCTCACTTTTTTTCTTAGATGGTAACTGAGTACACATGCACAGTAATATGCCAAAGGTATTTCCTGAGTTCTGTTTTTCTCATCGAATTTCAAGCAAATTTTCTTTTTTTTCCAAATAACTTTCTTGACTTGTTTTTCTTCTGTTATGATGCATACAATATTAAGCACACAACAAGATAATAATCCAGGGACTGTTTAGGCAATATTTATACCACCATCCCCTTATTATTTGGTAGTACATATAGTGATGTAGAATAAAGTACCTTAGCTATGCCCATGTGTCTGGGAAAGCATGGTATAAGAAAAACGAAATTTTTATTACAAATTAATACCTAATTTTACTAAGCATAGATTTTTAAAATTTGAAAATTAACAAACAGAACTTAAAAATCTAAATTTAGATAAATAGGTAAGTTTATGACCATTCCAAAAAGTAAAGTTTTATATAGTTCCTTACCCTGGGAGTGATACAGGTGGAGCGCAGATCTACAGATGAGGAACTGAGAGTTTTCCTGAGGGAGGGATTAGAAATAGGGCGGGCATCCTTAATGGAAGACTTGTTAAGGAGACAAGATCTAGACCCACTTGAGCTGTTCAGTGACAAGTTGGATGTACTACGTGACCTTGACCTTGCCACAGACGACCTTCCAGATCCCTTTCTTTTGATCCTTCCACTGAAAGTTCAACCAGTTACAGAAGTCATGGGGAGTTAAGTTAGTAAAATTTTACTGTTATAATCAATCTTTAAATCCTTTGAAACAAATACATATTTCAGAATCAAACAGAATATTTTTTTTATCATTAATCTTCAACTTTTGGAAATTTGTTTCTATTGTCAAAATGTAAAATCCTTTGAAGTCTCCAGATGTTTTTTTCAAATAAAAAAACCTTTAACATCATTACAGATATTCAAAGTGTTATTGGACAATCATAATTGTACTTCAGGATTCAGCAATGAGTTCCTTTTGCTCCAAGGTTTACAGCCAAATACAGGCTGTTTCCCCTAGCTAAAAAGTGCCTTATTTCCCCAAAATGACAAAAAAGCGAGAAATACATTTGATTTCGCAATTTCATTAAAAATAATGCTTTACTTTCAACTAGTGACGGAACAGGCTGTTATAAAATTTAGGTAGAAAAAAACATTGTTCAGTAGAGTCCTTAAACTACATTGAATCTATGACTATATAAAGGATTTGTGTCTGAAGTATTCCGTCTTTGTGTATTGCAGAGTTATCTTCTCTTGTTAAGTCATTGGTTTGTGCGAGAAAATTTCGCGGTTTTCTCAAAAATTGATGACGTTACTCTCACAAACAAATGACGTAACAATCAATACCTGCTCACAAGAGCGGATAACTCTGCAATACGAAAAGACGGAATATGTGTGTCTGCCTTATGGCTAGTTGTCAGACAAGTACTATATATTCACACACACATGCTAAAGCCTTGCTGACTGGACATACACTTACCTTTGTGCTGACTTTGGTCTAGGTCTTACTCTTTCTTTTTTAGACAACAGTTCATTCCGCAATTTTAAACTTTCCTCATGTAATTCATTGGCTCTGTCAAATTCAACAAGAAAAAAATCAGTATGCAAATATGAAGGTTTATCAAAACCGGAGAATTCAAAGAATCCTTGTCATTTAAAATGTATTCAAGATTTTACATGGAGTAGGAAAATACCCTAAAATCAGCTTTAACAAACTTTCTAATGTACAATGCATCAAAATAAATGAGATTAAATTATTATCGTAAAAAATTAATCTGGTTCATCTGACATTACAAATAATAAGAATGAATGTAAACATCCTTATATATTGCAAATTTTCAAAATGGGATTTTGGAAAAATATCTTTAAAATTTAATCCAATGCATATTTTTGGCATGTGTTTCTTGCAATTGGATGAAAATACTTTAAATGTCTTTTCTGTAATTTCATTTATAAATTTCATAAACTGTATTTCTGAAAATATGGAAAAACAAAATCTTTAAATATAAATGGTTTATAAATTGAATCAGACTCTAAATGGGGCCCTAATATCCATTCAATCTTTTGTTAGTGATTACACTTACTTGTTTAGTGTACATGTTGACCTGATGTTAATATTTACACTTACTGAACACAAATGCCTGACTGGTTTAGTGTTTACCTTTTGTTGATGTCAGTGTCTGAGACTCGTTTATGTCCTATAGACGTGGCCCAGGCTGTCCTCTGGCGCTGGACACTTCCTCTCACCTGGCTCAGGTCCTCATCTTACAAGTAAACAACAGATACGTATACATCCGCACTACAGAAACCTGTTTTCAAGTATGTCTATAAACAACTGACTCAAGAAATGAAAACATATCTTTGACTAAAATATAAAACAAGATACTATAGCTTAAACTGTCAGGTATACATTAATGAAGTTACAATGTATATATCCTCTTCTTGACCAAAACACAACTTTACATACTTGGTAAAATATGGTCACATGCTTATTAAAATCTACGAAAAAATATATGCTTTGTCTACAAAACTATCCAACAAGTAAGCTATTGGTCTAGAAACTGACTGTAATGATACATTGACCTGTAACAGTCTCTAACAGTGTATACTTTCCCATGAGACAGCTGGTTGTAATAATACATTGTCCTGTAACTGTCTCTTATAGTGTTATTTTCTCATGAGACTGGTTGCAATAATACATTGTCCTGTAACTGTCTCTAATAGTGTATATATATATATACGTTCCCATGATACTGGCTGTATTAATACATTATCTTGTAACTGTCTGTAACAGTGTATACGTTCCCATGAGACTGGCTGTAATAATACATTCTCTTGTAACTGTCTGTAAAAGTGTATACGTTCCCATTAGACTGGCTGTAATAATACGTTATCTTGTAACTGTCTCTAACAGTTTATATGTTGATTACGTTCCCATGATACTGGCTGTATTAATACATTATCTTGTAACTGCATGTAACAGTGTATACGTTGATTACGTATCCATGAGACTGGCTGTAATAATACGTTATCTTGTAACTGTCTGTAACGGTGTATACGTTCCCATGAGACTGGCTGTAATAATACATTGGCCTGTAACTGTCTGTAACAGTGTATACATTCCCATGAGACTGGCTGTAATAATACATTATCTTGTAACTGTCTCTAACAGTGTATACGTTGATTACGTTCCCATGAGACTGGCTGTAATAATACATTGGCCTGTAACTGTCTGTAACAGTGTATATATAGACTGGCTGTAATGATATTTTGTCATTTGATTGTTTGTTATGATATCATACAAGACTTTCTGTTGACAGTAACTTGTCATTATATCCAGATCAATCACTTACCAGAGTTAGACCTGAACAATCTAGATTTCCTCATAGATTTTTTCGCCAGACCAGAGTACTTGTTCCCAGAATTAATTTTTTTATTCCTGTTCCTAACTTGTTTTTCCTGTTCCGTCAGTTTGTTTCTCTCATCACGTGCCATTTTTAATTTAACTGCAAACCACAAAAGAGATGAAAAAAAATAAAACAGAGCAAGAAACAAACTTTTACTGAAATAGGAGAAAATATCTCATCATCCTAATGTAAAAAACTCCTTTATTGGCATCTACTATTTCAAAACATGTTTACATAACTTTGGCCTTTGCTCTTCAGCTGAAAAATATTGTAAAATCTGAATTTTAGCTTCAAATTGAGATTAATTTTTTTTCCAGAAAAAACAAACAAACTGTTTTCTTCAATTCAGGGAGTATGATTTCAGTCTACTTTGTTGTTGATGTGTGAGATTGTCCATGTAACTTACTCTGTCGTTGTTGTTCATGGTCATCGTAGATGTTGTAGATGGTGCGGAGAGGCACATCCTGAGGTAGCAGCTCCTCTTGGAATTCTGCCAGGGGCTTGTACAATATGTCCACTGGCTTTATAACAAAATTCAGGAACAGAGTTTATTGACACATCCAAACACAACCAAATCAAAATTGTATCATTTTCTTTGATAGAAAAAAAGGAAGGTTTTGTGGAACTGTCTTACAGGTAATTATAAAAATTAACAAATATAAATTGCTTTCTGCACTTACCTTGACACCAAGCTTTGCGCAAGCCTCCAGTGACCTTGGACTGGTCAGTACATACTTGCCATCCTCATAGTGGGGATCCTCAAAGTTGTACAGGTCAATCTTCAGTTCATTCATCTGACTGGTCAGCTGACCTACATTTGGGCTCTCTGAAAATATTTTAAATAAATAATGAAGGTAATGTTAAGTTTGATTTTCTTGTAATACTTAGTTGTAGAAGGTAACCAGCTACACTCAATTGGTAAGAGCATGCACAAGTGTCTAAAGTCTGGAGGTCCCTGCAGGTACTGTACATATCCCTTTCCAGCCCCATTGCCTTTTTCCTCTCCTAAGCCTGTTACAGTGGAGCCTTTGGCTTACCCTTATTGAAGTACTTTGTGTACTTAAGCTTGGCTAGGGGATACCTGTACCTGGTTGTAAGTTGTGTTGGCTTTCATTCAGGGGCAAAGACTTTGAAAACAGATAGAGTTGTGCAGCGAAACTATGCTGATGTACACGTGTCCATCTTGAGTTCAGATCGAGGTCAATTCAATGATTCAAACCTTTGCTTCAGCGTAGCAGAATCCCCTTTTTCACAATTATCCTAATGAAAAGTATTTTGATGATCAATGTCATACAACATATAATAGCGTGCAGCATCTGTGTGGTTATTTTCTCATGAAAAGTGCTTAAAAGACCAGAGCCCAATGTTTCATTATTGACAAAGTTATTGTTGTTATATACCATTTTAATGACTAATTTACAAGTTCAATGTTTTAATTATATACCTGAATTACAATGTTAAATTGTAGTCTTAAAATATGACTTATCTGGGGTTGATATTTTGCACTGGTTGACCATACCATGATTTAGGAGGCTTTTTGTTGAACCTTAATGCCATTTTAATCTGTATCGTACAAACTTATATATAAATAAATTGAAGTAGCATGTATAGTGTGTAACGAATATGACAATGACGTGTTTCATGTGACAAAGACAGTTAACATATCTGTTTTCAAAATTCCTCAATATTGCTCTGCCGCGAGGAGACCAAACCTGCAAAAACATGTTTGTTCACTCCAAACAAACGCTTAGATCTACGCTCCAATGAAATGAAAGCCTAAACTTTAACTCAAAATACATGCATATCCGTAAGATGCATACCATTCATCAAGGCAGATCGATAGCTGGAATCCATGGCGTTTGTGTTTTTCGTAAATCCACAATATATAGCCTGTCGTCGGCAATGTTGTCATACATTGGCCGCCATGTCTAAACAAGCTCGGTTGAAATATCGTTGAAAACGAGATTTTGGCACGCTTAATACGGCCGGTGATCCTAATGAGTGCCCAGCGTGCTTACGTATGAAAACTATTATCATTTACCGATTAAATTACGCATGTGTGCATATAAGTGGATGACTGGGTGTCCAACCAATGTCCAGCAGGGTTTTCGCGCGCCCAGCAATCCGTCAAACGATATTTTCCACTTTTTTTTTCCTGAGAAGTTTCAATTTTCACGTCAAAGCAAGGGAAGTAACTCGTATACACCTAACTTAAGGATCCCCGTTCCTCCGCCTAAAAACGTAATGAGGCATTGGTGTTTTTTCTATGGCATCTCTATATGCATAAGGAAATCATTCGATGCAACAAGGGTTTATTACAAATATAACACATAAAAAATAATAACTATGTCAACATTGATGAACAAAACACAAAAAACTCAGTAATATTCTAACAATAATACAAAAACAAACAAAAATGCTAATTACATGAATCAATAAAATTCCGACTGCCAATGCAACACGTTAAAGACAACAAAAAGAAAATATAGATCACAAAAATAATTATCTTGCGGACTTACTTATTGTACAAAAATAAAATGATACCAAAAAACTAAACAAAAAAGGGAGACAACTCTTACATTTGTACCAATAATAATGATAAATCTCAAAGAGTCATATATACAATTTACAACATACAATATAGCACTTTTTATATACAAATATAATACAGTAACCAATAAAATTACTTAAAATGAAATGAACAATATAAAACAAATTTCTAAATACTGTACAAATAACATACTATGGTGTGATGTAAAAAAAATCACACTATACAACAATAATAAAGTTTTACATTCTGAAAAAAACAATAATAAACTAACCATAGTAAAAATAATAAAAATAATAATAATAACAAACGAAATCTATTCAAGGGGTCGAAATGGTAATCAGGGGCAGGTGACTCTAACACTGAAAAACGACAGTGGAATTCTTCAGTGTTTTGCTCTGGCTGGGACGGAGATCCTTAAAAGCAACATTAATGAAAATGACATTATGATAACCAGATTTTAATAACTTCATAACTTTTATCATAAACTAATAAAAAAGAAAAATATAATAATTTGGCTATCAGTTATTTTCATTCTAGTAAATAGAACTGCTAGTAAATAATGTAAATATAACACGGAACTAGATTAGAACTATTGCTACATGTATCTTATCACATTTAGTTACATTTATAAGTTAAATTAAGATTATTTCTGGTTCAGGACTATTAAAGTACTCTTTTTACAGACTCTCAAATAAATAAATATATTAAATACATTTGTCAAATACTTCTATGACTGTTCTGATTGTAAAATAGTGGTTTTTTTCTGAGCATATTTATTGATCGATTAGGGAATATTTTTTGACATCTTTCCATAGTATAATAGCATTAAAACATTCTGTTTCATAAATTTGACTTATTACTTTGTAGACTTGGAAGACCTATTTTCTATTTTCTATTTTGCACTCATTTTAATCTCGAGGCTGTACCAGCCTTGTACCTGACTTTTGGGCATCTTAATGTGAGGGGTCTTCTTAGCAAAATTGACCACATACGAATTCTATTGAGGAATCATACCTTTGACATATTTTCTGTGTCAGAAAGTCATCTCGACAGTACTATAGACGATTCAGATATTTCTGTCAAAGAATACAACTTATTTCGGAAGGACCGTAACAGGCATGGTGGGGGCGTTGCCACCTACGTTCGTGACACCATTTCGACCAATGAGGATAATGTTGACCATAACGGGACATTAGAACTAATTTCTGTAAAAATTCAACAGAAAAACTCATCACCAATTATGTGTGTTACCGTCTACAGACCACCAAACGAACGGGTGGACTGGTACGATAAATTTGATTCGGCGATTGACAAACTATCGACTGAAAATCATAACTTAGTTGTGTTGGGAGATTTTAACATAGATGAACTTAAATCTTCCAAACTGAAAAATTCGATGTTACTCTATAACTTACATCAACAAATAACAGTCCCTACACGAGAAACTAAGGACTCTGGAACTCTAATAGACCACATTTACACGTCTGACTCTTTTGTGTGTCTGGAGTCCGGAGTTATTCCCCTTGGATGCAGTGACCATCACCTGGTGTATACTATCCGGAAAACCAGAGGATGTCCTCCCAAGCCCCACGTGACCATTAAATACAGAAAATTCAAAGACGTTAATCTGGAAAACCTAGCTGCTGATATGCAGCAGGTTCCATGGAGCTCGATTGAAGTTTTCGACGACGTAGATCATGTTTGGGCTACGTTCAAAGACCTTTTCCTAAGTGTCATTGACAAACATGCGCCGTTGCATGAAAAACGGGTCTAGGCAAATTCAGAACAATGGATTAACGATGATATTTTGAATGAAATGCACAATCGTGACTATTTACACGACAAAGCTAGAAAATCTAAGATAGACTCGGATTGGGCGCTCTTCAGAGCATGTAGAAATAGACTTCTTTTAAAAATTAGACAAGCCAAACGTGATTATTTAGATGAGTCTCTCTTACAATGTTCTCAAAACTCAAAGGACATTTGGAAAAAAAATAAAGAATTTTTGCCCAGTAAAAAATCAAATACTGCTGTAAACTTAAATGTTGATGGAACTCTTATCAATGATAAAGTTGATGTATCCAATACTTTCAACATTTTTTTCTGTAATATTGGTGCCGAGATAGACAAAGATTTTGACGATAGTCTACCCGACATTGAGAGTTTTGTTACAGAGACACCATATAGTATTCCGAGTATTACTACAGATTTTGTACATAATCAAATTAGACACATGGCTGACGGAAAAGCCACAGGTGTGGATGGAATATCTGTTAAACTTTTGAAATGTGCAGGAGAAGCTATTGTATCTCCTCTTACCTTTTTATTCAATATGTCAATTTCTAAAAATGTCTTTCCCTCAGAGTGGAAAAGGGCAAAGGTCACTCCGATTTTTAAAGAGGGTGATCTCACATCTGTAAATAACTATAGACCGGTCTCAGTACTGGTGGGTATGAGCAAAATATTAGAAAGACATGTTCATAATACGTTTTACGATTTTTTAACTGAAAACAAATTATTAAGTGACAGCCAATTTGGTTTTCGACCAAACCATTCTACAGAGTCCGCTCTGGTGAGTGTGGTAGACAAATGGCTGAAAAATATTGACGAAGGGTATCTTACTGGTGTTGTTTTTATTGACCTTCGAAAGGCTTTCGATACAGTTAACCATACTGTTCTGTTACATAAACTTAAAGCATATGGTGTATCGTCCTCAGCCTTAAAATTTTTCAAATCGTACCTCACTGAAAGATTACAAGCAGTAAGTTTTTCCGGTGTGTTATCAAGTTTTCAACCAATAAATATTGGTGTACCCCAGGGCTCAATTTTAGGGCCACTACTTTTCATTTTAAACATTAACGATTACCCTAAGTGTTTAAAACATTCTACAGTTATGATGTATGCAGACGATACGTCACAGAGTATAAAGAGTAAAACAGCAGAGAGTCTGGAAGAAAAAATGTCAGAAGATCTTGAATGTACAGTTAAATGGATGAAGGCAAATAAACTAAGCCTTAACTTAACAAAAACCAAATGTATGATGATAGGGTCCTCTCAAAAGCTCGCAAAATGTCGACAGGTGGTTTTGAAAGTGTGTGACCTTACGATTGAAACAGTTAAATGTGCAAAACTACTGGGTGTCTTTATCGATAGTCGTCTCTCATGGAAAGAGCATATAGAGTATGTATCAAAGAAAATATCCAAAAAGATTGGTGTGTTGAGAAGACTTAGGTCTTTCATGTCAAATGATGTTATCAAAAAAGTTTATAACAGTATTGTTTTTCCTCATTTTATGTATTGTTCAACTGTCTGGAGCGAACCTAGCAACAAATTATATACGGATAAGATTTTTAAATTACAAAAGAGAGCAGCTAGGATCTTATTAAAAGTTAGTGACATTCTTACTGCATCCAGGTCTCTTTTTGAAAAATTGCGATGGATGCCAATAGCAGATTTTTATGTTTTTAGAAAAATGGTTCTTTCTTACAAAATTCTACACTGTGAATCCCCGGGGATGTTAGATAATATGTTTTCCTATGTTAGAAATGTTGTTGTAAGAACTACTAGAGCTTCTGTAACAAATAAACTGTATGTTCCAGCAGCCAGAACCACGTATTTTAAGAGATCATTTGCATATACATGTTCAGTGTTATGGAACGAAACAAGTGACACAGTTAGAGATTCATGTAGTGTTAGTGTTTTTAAAGGCAGATATCTGGATCATTACTTTACAAAACCCTGATTTGTCTGATCTATGATATTAAATATACTGTTCATAATGTTGTAATTCTATTTTATGTAACATATCATCCTATTATTATGCTTAAATTGTTGTCATGCTTGTATATATGTATTAATGCAGGGCCATATTGTAAACTAGACATTGTCTAAATATGTAACCCTGGATAAATAAAAGATATTATTATTATTATTATTATTATTATTATTGTACCAGCCTCAGCCTTGTACCAGCCCTGTACCAGCCTTGTACCAGCCTTGTACCAGCCTTTTACCAGCCTTGTACCAGCCTTGTACCAGCCTCATCCTTGTACCAGCCCTGCACCAGCCTTGTACCAGCCTCAGCCTTGTACCAGCCCTGTACCAGCCTGTACCAGCCATGTACCAGCCTTGTACCAGCCTTGTACCAGCCCAGTACCAGCCTTGTACCAGCCTTGTATCAGCCTCAGCCTTGTACCAGCCCTGTACTAGCCTTGTACCAGCCTGTACCAGCCTTGTACCAGCCTTGTACCAGCCCTGTACCAGCCTTGTACCAGCCCTGTACCAGCCTTGTACTAACCTTGTACTAGCCTTGTACCAGCCTTGTACCAGCCCTGTACTAGCCTTGTAGTAGCCTGTACCAGCCTTGTACCAGCATTGTACCAGCCCTGTACC